CGTTACGGAAGTCCTTCCCTGGATGTGAACAAATGGATCGCTTGTCTTTGTTTGGATGGGAAAAAATATCCATTTATCTTGAATGCAAGTCGAGATATTTACGAAAGAAGGAGGAGGGGGTCACCTGTTTTCAGAGGTAAAATTAGAGAGAAAACGGCCACCAAAGATTAGTTATTTCCTTAGCTCAAGAGTCCGTGGTAACTGAAAAATAACATTTTTTGTACCTTTTATCAATGTTTTTTCAGAAAAATCCACATAGAAATTAGTTCTTTTATGAGCATGAAAGGTGTTGAGCCAAAAAAAAATTTTGATAAAAATTCACAATAAAAACCTGCGGAAAAATGCAAGTTTCGTCACTTTGATTCTTTTGACGAGAGCCTGTTTCCACCACGCTGCCTCACATATTGCTGTTTGTGGTAGGCTACTTGAAATCAACGCTATCATTAACATCTTTAAGTGACGATTTAAAAGAACTTATTTTTAAAGAAAGTATTCAACTCATATTGAAAGACAAATTACTACAACTCAATCTTCTAATTCAAAAACAGGATGACATTATACATGGTGATCAGCTGTTTCCCGTCAGCTTGTCGCTTGATTTCTCGCCTGAGTAAAGCAGCTAGCTCACTGTATGGCCACTCCCCAGTTTATCTCACTCATCGCTTGCTTCACGCTAGCTACAGCTGTCGCTCGTGATGTGGCCGCACCCTTATTTATATGAGGTGCCCACTGCGGATGGGGTCGGCGGGTCGGGCCGATCGCCCGACTCGGTAGGTCGCCTAAAAAACAAACGTGTTTGTAGTTTCAGTTCCAGGCGATCGAGTCGGACGATCGGCCCGATCGATCCAGCTGTAATGGGCACCCCGTATTAACGGTCTGGTCGCTCGCCAGATTGAGGACGCAAAGCGGCTATCGTGGCATAAGCCGATCGCCCTGACTAACCGATTCTGACCCAGGAGGTTATCAAGGTCCTAGATTCTGACTAAGGAAGTTATTATAAGGTCCTGCGATTCTGACCAAGGAATCAAGGTCTTAGATTCTGACCCAGGAGGTTATCAAGGTCTTAGATTCTGACCCAGGAGGTTATCAAGGTCCTGGATTCTGAGGTATACATGCATGTACTTCCAATACATCATGGTGGCTCATTTTGAGCCAGATGAAGGGCAAAAGGAGAAAGTGTCGGGTGATCTCGACTATAGTGATAGCGGTACGTGCAGGTACCGGTATTTTGCTGTTCATTCAGGCCTAATGGGTTAGCTCATGGTGAGCACGCTTTTCAGGGAAGTTTAAAAAAAAATTGAAAGCGAAATGCGGCCGCCGTTACAAAACGCAATCTAGATCTAGTAGTACAAGTCTATGAGTACATGTATGCCAAACTTAGCGTACAAGTAACCGATAGGCAAGTGAAGACTTATACTTCCCATAGATTTTTTCTGGTCGTCACGATCATAAATTTAATACATGAACTTAAACAGTAGATTACTGTAAGGGATTGGCGAATCTCAAAACGGTAAGTCTACAAAATAGACAATAAAACAGACTTACTTCTCACAGATTTCATCTGGACACGATCCTAAATTTAATAGGCCTACATGTACTTGAATAGTGGATTGCTGATAATAGGGGATTGGCAAATCTCAAAATGGTGCAAAACAAGGCTTAGGAATGGACCCTCGCTGGTGGTAAGCTGATACATGTATAAGCTAGGAGGTGCATGTCCCTAGCTTATTATGTTATTGGCCAAGATTGTTATCAAAGTATTCCTAAACAGGAAAAAGGAAGGTTAAATGCATGCCCAACAAATGTATCATTCATCGATTTTAGATTATAGACCTAATAA